GTTGGAGTGGTATAAGACGGTTGCTGAGTTCATGGAAAGCATTGGCCTCATCAGGTTGTGGAGTGACGCGTGTGCTTGGGTGTGGAAACCTCAAGGGGAGTTGCGAGGCATGGTTACGGGGCACGTGGATGATTTTATGTTTGGAGGCGCGGACAAGGATGCAGGTTGGCAAGAAATCATCCGCTTGATTAAGGAGAGGTTTCGTTGGGGTGATTGGGATCAAGACAATTTCACACAGTGTGGCGTTCAGATCGAGAGCACCCCGGAAGGCTTCCTGTTGTCCCAACCCCGATACCTCGACAGCTTGGCCGAAATCCCGCTCTGTAGTGCAAGGAAGAAACAGAAGTCTTCCCCTACAACCGACCGCGAGAAGTCGCAACTCCGTGCATTACTTGGAGGATTGAGTTGGTACTCGCAACAAACCAGTCCCCATGTAGCGGCCGAGGTCAGCTTCGTTTGTCTGAGGTTTGCGAATCAACTGTGGAAACAATAGTCCAGACCAACCAGTTGCTAGACTACGCCAGACAACGTCGAGGACACAAGCTGCTGATCCACAGGTGTCCAAATGAGGACATGCAGTTCTTCGCCTGGGTGGATGCCGCTAACAAGAATAGAAGGGGAGAGGGTAGTACTCAAGGGATCTTTGTTGGGGCTGCTTCCAAGGACCTCCTGCGGGGTGCTGTGTGCCAGGTAAGTCCAATTACCTGGCACTCTACAAAAATAGATCGCACATGTCGCAGTCCAGGAGCAGCTGAGACTCAAGCTGCTGTGAACGGGGAGGATGTTTTGTTTTACGTGCGGTACCAATGGGCCGAGATGTTCTCCAAGGATGTAGACTTACGGAATCCATCCAGCATGGCGGCGCGCGCAGCTGGCACCCTCGTGACGGACTCCCGGAATGTCTACGACAAGCTTCACACGGCCGTTCTGACGATCCAGGGGGCCGAGAAGAAATCGAACCTGGAGCTCCTCAGCGTCAAGGAGTCCCAGTTAAATACCGGCCTCACTGTGAGGTGGGTTCATTCGGAAGCCCAGCTGGCCAATGCTCTGACGAAACGAGGAGCAAAAGAGCTGGAACTCTACTACAAGATGAACTTCAAGTGGCGGATAGTCGAAGATCCAGATATGCAGTCTGCCAGACGACGACGACAAAATGGTCTGACACCTTTCGAGCAGACTCCTTTACCAATTTGAGTTTCGTAGTATTTCCTGAACTCCAGGAAAGAGCCGGCATGCAAGTGTTAAGGACACTTGTGGCTGCTCATCGCGAACCATCAGGCTTCGCAGCTTTCTGATTCAAGGCGCTGGGGTGCCCAGGGGAAAAGTGATAGCGTCTCCACGTGTGCCGTTCATACTGCACCCTTCTCGACGTGACCTACCCGGTACCTCTCCCGAGATTCTTGATTGAGCCGTTCCTACCAGCACGTCCCACTTTGGGTCGTGCATGGTAGCGGAGCCCAGTGGGGCTTCAAGTGGTGAAGAAGATTCAGGGCAAGCAGGCAGTTGTGTGATACGGCTCCCACAACTGACACATGACCGCGTCGGACAGTGCTGGTAAGGAGAACGAGCCTCCTTCCTGGAACGGCGATGCAGCTACGTTTCAAGAATTTGAGGAGTCATGCCTGTTGTGAGAACAATCAGTGGCATGGGAAAAAAGATACCTTTGTGGACCTCGCTTGGCAGCGCAACTGACTGGAGCAGCGAAACGATACGTGGCGGGCCGCCACCCCAGCTGGTTGGCACATCCGCGAGGCGTCGATGACTTGCTGGCGCATTTGCGGACCAGCCTGGGTAAACCTCAGGTTTCCGACCTCACAGAACATTTGAGCCGCTACTTCAAAGGATCGAGGCGAAGATCAGGGGAGAGTATCAATGAGTACATCTCCAGAAAGACGGAGATTTATCTCCGTGCCTGTCAGGCCTTCCAGAGGGTCCGGCCTCACCAGAAGCAGCAGATTGCAGCGACAACTTCAGTTGGACAACCGTGGGTGCCAAACTGGAATGCCAGTCGCCGCAACAGCGTGGAGAGCAACACGACCACCACCGCAGGTGAGAATGAGGGCGAGGCCACCACGACCGAGGACACCCAGACGGAGAACCATGATGAGCGAGGCCGATGGCGTGACGACCAATGGTCCTATAATTCCTACGGATGGGGAGCTACGTCATGGTGGAGCTCCGGATGGACTTGGCAGCAGCGGCCGTGGATGGAGCGGCCGAGCTCGGAGGTCCCACAGATTCCCGAGCTCCTCCCTGACTATGTGCAGGGATGGTATCTTCTACATGATTCCGGGCTATCAGGTGCAGAGCGGAATGTGGTGCAGACGGCGATACAAGGGGACTTCTCTTTGTCCCGAGTGGCACAAGAGCTTCGTAATCAATGTGCGGTGCTGGACAACCAGCGCAAGGAGTACAGCAGCCGCAACAGCGGCTACCTCGGGGACTACCAGGACTCCGAGACGGGGATCGAGGAGCACATTGACGACGGGTTCTTGGGGGACTTGCCAGACGAGGAGCTGGAGACCTGGGAGTCAGCAGAGCATGAGGCTCAGGAAGCCCTGGCAGCAATGCACGCTGCCAAGCGCACCCTCCGAGAGGCACGTCAGAGACAATCTAACGTGCGTGTCTCCAGGCAGTACTTCAGGACCAATGCTGGCAACCAGGGTGCGAAGACCAAGGAACCTCACAAGCCACGAGATGATTCCAAGATCCACTGCTTGAGATGCGGTGTGTTGGGCCACCGTGTGGCCAACTGCCCAGTCCCAGCTCAAGCCGCGAAAACCGCGGAAGAGGTCGAGGCGACTTCTTCTTTCATCTGCTATAGCGAGGAGCAGATGTCCTTGGCCGCCACCGTGACGGACGAGTCGTACGCGGCCGGGATCAGCACCTCAGAGGCAGTGGCTCAGGGGAAAGCTGTGATCGATGGAGGAGCTACCCGAACCCTGGCTTCGTGTGCCGCAATGGAGGCTATCATGGCCTTGAATGCAAAGCGCTCGGGGCATAACGGGTTGCTGAACGTGGACAAGGAGAACTGCCCCACCTTCGGCTTCGGCAATGGCTCCACCAATCGATGCACAGCTACAGTACAACTCGCTATTCGAGCAGATGAGAAGCCCGGCTCCTTGACTGTACATTGTTTGGATCAAGGTACAGGACCGCTACTGCTGTCCGTAGACACCTTGCGACGGCTGAAAGCTGTCATTGATTTTGAATCTGACTTAGTGTGTTTCCGTGCTTTAGACGCAACACGCTTGGTTCCTGTAGAGCGCTCGCAGACGGGACATCAGCTGATTCCAATGACCGAAGACCTGTTTAAGAACAGCCTGGCCGCCAAAAGCGCGGTTGTCAGCTTTCGAGATCTCGTCCAGAACCAAGCCTAGGGACAGCTCCTTCCTCCTCCTAATTCCGGGGAGGCTGTGAAGGTACAGACAAGCACGGAATCTGGGGTGAAAACCACTCTGAACACTACTGCTTTGTGTAGTGACCTGGAGTTCAGGAGTGATGTTTGTTGTAGTGTTGGTGTGTGCAGATCTAATTCGAGTAAATTGGTAAATGAGTCTGTGCAGAAAGTGACGACGCAAACTGCGACGACAGACAGCAGCCGGAGCAGAACCGTGGCCGCCGCAGCCAGTTCTGATCAAGGTCGGGATCTTTGCCCACGAACTTCCTCTACTTCGGTACCGTCACAACATGCCGAAGGCCACCAAGGCAGACCTCCAGGCGGAGCTCTTGGAGTTGGGGGAAGATGTCCCCAGCCGGTGGACGCGCATGGAGTTAGAGCAGAGGCTACGGGAGCTTCGCACACAGGGCCTCGCGGACAGCGAGGAGACCACGACGATGACCGAGATGGAGACGATGAACAAGGAGCTGCGTCGTGCGGCGCGGAAGAAGGCTACGTTGGTGACTTACTGCACCGACACTCTGGGGATGACCCTGACCGGCAACGAGACCATGGCGGTGCTGGAGAGCAAGGCCTTGACGAGTATCATGAAGCAGAGCAAGGCCGAGGGCGGCGACTACGTGGGTTTCGGCTGCCACTCCAAGGAGCGCTACAACACGATCCACCACAACTACCCGGAGTATGCTCAGTGGGTAAAAACGACCTACAAGGAATCCGGAGATCAAGGTGTGGATCATCGTTTGGCGCGATTGGCCAAGTGGCTAGAGCAGCAATCAGCGACGATCTCCAAGCCACCGCCGACCGCAAAGACTCAGGGCTACATGATCGCCACCAAGGACCCGAAAGGTCGTGCCAGTCCGACGAAGAAAGGACCGTCGACAGCCAGGGGCAGTGCGGATGTTGCCCCCAGCGAGAGCGACTGGAAGTTGGCGATGATGGCCGAGACCCTAGACCTTTTGCGTGCGGAGATTGCGGAAGTACGAGCCGAACGTCCGAGGAAGACAGTGGCCCGCGCCGACGAGGAGATGACAGACTCGTCCTTCAGCATGGTGTCCGAGAGTCCGCACAAGAAGGGGGAGCACAAGAAGTGAGCGATGATGAATCGTCGACCATAGGGGAGTACAGGCCTATGAGTGCTTCCCAGAGGCTTAGTGAGGAACTGAGAAGGATGAAAGTCCGGGATCTCAGCGAGTCACGAGCCCGCAGCCTTGAGGATCAGGGCTGGTCTATAGTTCCTCAACTTTTCCAGACCCTTGTGGGTCACAACCGGCCATCACTGATGGAATGTGGAGAACGAGAGAGCTTGTTATCCAGCACAGTTCGCGCACACGCAAAAAGAGAAGATGCAGCCACCTCGTGCATTCTGTGCAACGGTTGTGAACTGTCCACCGATGCTGGCATCCGGTTGATCATGCAGCGCATTTCCATGGAGCAACCTGTTCATATTTGGCTCAGTCCCCAAAGTAGTCCCTTTTCTCCTCTCCAGAACACTAATCAGCGAACTCAAGAACAGAGGGCGGCGTTGCAAGAGAAGCGGCAGCAGGCTATCAGAGAGTACGTAGGTGCTGTGTGTATTGTGCATTATGCGCGCCAAAGAGGGATTCACGTGACACTTGAGTTGCCTGATAGGTCTGAGGCTTGGAGGCTTCCGGTGTTACAGAGGCTTCAGAACAAGTTTGGGTTGCATGTTGCGGTGTTGAAGGGTTGTGCTCTTGGTATCCCAGGAGAGGCCTCAGGCAGCAAGACCAACAAGGGTTGGAAAGTCCTTACCACTCATGCTAGACTCGCCGAAAACCTGAACATGCCATGTACTTGCCCCAAGGGAACGAAACATACCTCCCGGGCTGAAAGAAGTCTTGAAGGTCGATATCCGGAAGCCATGTGTAGGAAAGTGAGTAGGATTGTCCTGCAGGAACTTAGCCACCATGACACCCTCCGAGAGTGTAGTGGCCAGAGCATGTTGTGCGAGGGTTTTGGGGAAGGGGAGTTTTGTACTTGTGGGGAAGTTAACTTGCCGGGCAAAGCAAGATCATGTGCGAATTGCTTGCGGGGTCGACAAGACCTTATGACAGAAGACGCTGAGGTGCTGCTGGAATCAACACGGCAGGAGTCAGCTCTAGGGGATAAGGAACTTCCAAGCCAAAACCAAGGACACCTCAACTCCTTCCTCGAGCCTTCCAAAGCTGAAGATGAGGTGACGATGAATGACGAAGATGGTGAACAAGAAGTGAACTACAGTGAGGCACAAAGGTCCCAACTTGAGACACAGGCCCAAGACCTCATGGAGAAACAGCTGTACAACCATAAGTCGTGCGAGAAACTCCTTGAACAGCTTCCTTACAACCACAAGCGTAGGCACCGAGAAGCCCTCACCCAGAACTACCCCAGGTACCTGATCTTTGGAGCTTACTCGTATGGCAACCATTATGGACTGACGAAGTGCACCCGGAAGTTGCCCAACGTCTGTAAGTATCTGCTTAAGTACCTCCAACATTGGTCAGGGGAGCCAGTTGTCGGAACGAGCATTGTCGTGAACAACAATTGCAATATTGGACTGCATCGAGACAGCAACAATCGACCAGGCACCAAGAACTTTGTGATAGGGGTCACGGGGTATCAACATGGTGAGTTGTGGGTTTCTGGAACTCCCCCAAGTCCTCACCATAGGACGCTTGTGAAACAGCTTCCCAACCAGAGCCATCAGAGCGGCTACTTGTTGAATACCAGACACCGAGTGGTGTCCTTCGACGCGCACCAGTGGCACACGGTACAGCCGTGGCAAGGGAATCGGGTGATGGTCGGGTTGTATACCAACAGGAGTGTGACTCATTTGAATAGTCAGGACCTTCAGTTGCTTCAGGAGTTGGGTTTTCGATATGAGTCGTTGTCGGAAGCTCGGATTGCTGAGGAGGGTTTTGCCGTTCGGGATTTACAGGTTCGGAAAGGCACGGCTATTGAAGAGGAGATCAAGCGGAAGCTGTATCTTCTGCATGCTGCTACAGGACATGGGAGTACCCGTCACATGCTTAGTGCCTTGAAGCGTAGGAATGTGGACCCGTTGGTGCTTCGGTTGGCTGAGGAGTTTGTGTGTCCCATTTGCCAGGAAAGACAGCGAGTCAACCCCCGGCAACTGTCCTCCTTAGAGCCTCTCCCGCCGAAGTTTCATACCCTCACCGCGGATGTAGGACATTGGTCATGTCCCAAAACGGGAGAACAACAGAACTTCCTTCTGTTGATTGATGAGGGGTCCCGGTTTCGAGCGGCCAAGATACTCACCAAAGGATCCAAACAGACCCCGAATGCTGCTGCGTGTCTTAACTACATCTCGGAAGGTTGGATCCAGCTCTTCGGCAAGCCCAAGGCATTGAGGCTCGACCCGGCAGGCAGTTTTAGGTCCGCGGCCATAGAAGATTTCTGCGATAGAAATGAGATTTATCTCGACGTCATACCCGGGGAAGCCCATTGGCAGATTGGCATTGCGGAACAAGCAATACAGGGTGTTAAGCAGTTGATGGGCAAGCTTCATGATCACGATCCCGAGGCCACCCCTGAACAGCTTCTTAGCTTGTCTGTGGCAACTTTCAATCAGAGGGAGTTGATTCGTGGGTTCTCTCCGGTACAACACGTTCTCGGGCAATCTCCGGATACGACTGATCGCCACAATCTGGCCCGCGCTCAGGGCGAGGAACCTATATTGAATGATTCGGTTACTGAGTTTCAGAGAGAGGCCGAGCGGCGGGCAGTGGCCGAGAAGGCATTGATTGATTGGCAAGCTCAACAACGGGTGAATCGAGCGATGCACTCACGGACACGCGCCCAGTGCATCTACCGACCGGGGGACTTAGTCTACTTCTGGCGTACCCAAGAGTCTGGCCGCCACAAGCGGCATCCTGGGACCCGACAGGGTCGTTTCTTGGGTCCCGCAAGGATCTTGGCGATGGAAACACGCCAAAACGAGGACGGGACTGCGCGGCCAGGCCACGCAGTCTGGCTAGTACGTGGACGTCACCTGTTGAAGTGTGCACCTGAGCAATTGCGCCCAGCGAGCCAAAGGGAAGAGCTGATTGAGTCCTTATCTCAGATGGATTCCACGCCATGGACGTTTACCAAGTTGACAGCTGAAATTGGCGGCAATCAGTATGAGGATATCAGTGACGAGGTACCCCCAGAGGAAGAGTGGAACCGCGCGCAGGACGCCACTCAGGAAGTACAGCCAAGCCGAACTCGGATTCGGGGAAAAAGGCAGTTGGCCAACACTGATCTAGGTGGAGACACCACCATGGAGGAGCCCAGCGAGCCCAGCCAGCCCAGCAGAATCCGGAGGACCTTTGATCATCGCGGCCCTCGGCCCTGGGAGGCAGCCACCGTACACTGGAGCCAGGTAGTGCAAGAGTCAGCATGGACTACTCACGAGGCCGGATATTGGACAGATGATCAAGCAGCGGTAGAAGTGGCAGTGGACATGCCAGACAGCCAGCGAGGCTGGGAACACTTCTACAAGAACCCGCAGGCCTACCTTGTGAGCATGCTGAAACGTCGTGCCGTGGAAGTGAGCGAAAAACGCTTAAGCATGGAGGACCGACAGAAGTTCGCCGAGGCCAAGCAGAAAGAGGTGAGAAACTTCATCTCAGCAAACGCCTTCGAGGCGTTGCCTAAGGAACTGCAGCCTCCAAAGGAGAAGGCTATAGGCATGCGATGGCTGCTCACCTGGAAAGTCCAGGAGGACGGCAGTGTTAAGCCCAAAGCCCGGGCCATTCTGCTGGGGTATCAAGACCCTCAGTATGAGTACCGATCAACAACGGCTCCTGTCATGACGAGGCAAACCAGACAGCTCTTCCTTCAAGCCGCAGCGAATAAGCAGTGGAGGATTCAGAAAGGGGATATTAGTGGGGCTTTCCTCCAAGGGAGGGATTATCCCGACGAGTTGTTCTGTACCCCTTGTGATGAGATTCTGGAGGCGATGTCACTTCCCAAGGGTTCTATCACCAGGTTAAAAAGGGCTTGCTATGGCTTGGTGGATGCTCC